TGAATTTGGCATCAGCTGTTGAGATTATAAGGACATAATAGAAAAGGAACAAATACAAATATTATTTCTAAGAGCTTTTAAACTCTGTTTTAAAACAGAAATTATCTTGTAATGGCAACATTAAGTATCTATTGACAAATTACTTTAGATTTCTATACTATTAATTCAAAACAGATATGACCTATGAATAATGGATGTATCTAGAGCAGTAAGAATAGATATGGTTAATATATTGTATATGACCTTTATTTATGAAATATACATATGCATACACACACACACACACACACACACACACACACACACACAGATCTGGCTTTAGGAGTAATTTTTTTTAGACATGGTTTCACTGTATAGTTTAGGCTGACCTTGAACTCACTTACATAGCCCAGGCTGGACTCACACTCAAGGTGGTCATCATGCCCCATTCTCTCAAGTGTTGAGATCATATGCATGTACCACCATGGTGGTAGCAGTAAATTTTTTTGATATGTATGGAAAGTTAAAGATCCACTATACTAGAGTCCCTTTAAAGATTAATGAATAGAATTCAATTTCTATAGCTCCTGACATGGAGTGTGGTATCTTTAGGCTTTCTTTGCTGGAAGACTTTGTATTTCTACTTCAAATAATAACTCATACAATTTGAAGATGTTTCCATGTAATATATTATCTATTTCCCCAGATTCAGGATACGTGAATTTAATGCTAAGGTTGTTTTCAGATAGCAAGTGATTCACATTCAGTACAGAAAGAAAAAATGTTTATCTTTCCAGTGTATACATTCCTACTCTGTTATATGTGATTCTATTGGGCATTCCATTTGTTTTCTGAAAAGGAAATATATTTTTTCTAATATAGAATTAAAATAAGAATTTTAAATGCTTAAATAGGAACTGAAAGTAATAACACAAGAATATCTCAGCAGTTATTTGTTATTCTATCACTAAGACAAATCCTCTCAATTTAGATTATAGGTTTCCAGCATGGTATGGATACTGTGGGAACAATTCTTTTTAACCTATATTTTCCTAGTCAGGCTTAACTTTCTGAAAACCCTGCTCCTTGCTATTTATGCTCCGACACACTCTTCTCCCCCAGCCAGTGTGAAATATGAAAGTTTCTAATGTACAACATAGTGATTGAGATTATAATCACAATGGCAGACACTGTCATTAATGAGATGGCTATGGACCAGTAAAGAATGAAGAAGTAAAACTCTTTAAACTACGTATCAAATTGCCCCGTGATGATCAGATTAGTTTCTCTGAGCCCAAAGTGACTTACAATGGACCTAGCACAAGGGAATACTTCCCTATCACAGTTTGTAGCCTCTGGGACATAGGGTAACATGAAAATATCTGAGGTAGGAAAGGAATGTGACTAACAACCAATAAATTGCTTCGTAACAGTTATCAATCATACATGTGTCCCCTTTGACATTGTATTTTTGTTTTATTTACAAAAAATAAAAGCATTTCAGGTAGAAACAGACGAAAAGGCTTACTAAGTAAGCAACAGAAAAAGTCCAGCTATGTGTCTGAAGAGATGTCAATAGGGACAGAAGGCTATAAGTTGTTTGAGTTTTTAAAAAGTAGCTGGAAATGTCTTTCTGAATAGCATAGGACATGAGACATAAGGAAAGAAATAATGAAGGGAAAACTCACATGTATAAGAGAGTGATTATTTTTATTCTTGCTTAAATCATGGTAGATCCACATGCAAACAATGCAGCAAGTCTCTAGTGAGGAAGGAATAGATTACAAAAGGGTGAAAAGAATTAAGACCACTTTGATTATCCTAGGAACAGTTCCCAGATGACACAAAAGGAAAGAAACTTGGAAGGAAGAAGATCTTAATTAGATACTATAACTAGCTGAGACCACCTTCCCACTACATCATAAGCTCCACAAAGGTGGCAAACAGTGGTATGCCCAATGCTTAAGACACAGGGCCAAGCATAATACCTGCTCATGAGGAGGCACTCAAATATTTGCTAAATGAATAATGAAATGAAGATGTTCATCACCAGATCTGCAGCTTCCTAGATCTGAGACAGGGATCTGGGGGTTACCACCTTTACACATAAATAAGGAAATCATCACTTTTATAGTCAGATCTACCTAGAATGTATAATGTATTTTGTTTACTTTTTTTCTTTTTTCTTTTTTTTTTTTTTGGTACCAGGTATAGACTTAGGCAGGTGCTTATGCCACTGAGCTATTTCCCGGCCCTGGAATGTACTTCAAATATTTCTGTGAATACTAATATCTGGAGGAAAGTATTGAATAGATGGCATAAGAAAACCTATTATTTTCCTTGGTATTTCAATTAAATTGCACTATCATGTGCAAACTGAAGGAACTATTTCAGTCCTATTAAATCCCATATGAGAATCAATAGGATACATGATGCAGCATTTTTAGCTTATTATAAAACAAGCAAAAGAAAGTAGTGATAGTACAAATGGAATTCTAAACAGATGACCTGAGTTCATTCATTATTCAAGCCTGAATATCTTGGGCTGTGCTGTCAGTTATTTTACATATTTTAAAGTCTTTTTACCTAATGAGATGGGCTGTAAATTGCCCAAGAATAAGGCAATTGAATATTTTAAAGTCAAAAATGCTAAGCAATTAAGGAAAGCAGACAGTATAGTACTAGTGGTATAATCTGTAATGCAAAATTAGCACACCTGTTACTTCTGGGGGCTGCAGCATCTTGAAATGCTCACCAGGATTGCCAACAATAAGCCATGCATCACAAAAAGACTAAAATATATGTGCTTCATTCAAACTGCATATTTCTATACTCAATTTGTTCTGACAGTTCTGTGAAAACTGAGCTTACCATATACCTCATTGCCATTGTCAAAAGGAAGGAAAGTGCGCTTACAGAAAGAAAAATGAGGTTTAGCTATGCTCATGCAAATATAGGTACCCGTGGAACAGCTATGTAGAAAAAGCTCACACAGGGGCCAGAGAGATAGCACTTGCCTAGCAAGTGCAAGGGACTGAGTTTAATCCCCAGTTCCACCGAGAGAGAGAGAGAGAGAGAGAGAGAGAGAGAGAGAGAGAGA